CAGAAACAAATGTAAATCGCGCGATGAAACTTATAGATGGTATAGTGGTTTGAAGTTTTCGCTATTTTAATTTTAACCGTTCTAACTTTTATCATTGTTTTCTTTTACACCAACAACAGTGCGGATAACAAACATATCTATCATCACTGTGATAGTGTTTCGATCTGAGGGAGGCTTTTTCCGTCCAACAAAATGCCAAAGCATTCGGAATTTGGAAGATACTACAAGCGGCCATATATACAAACGTGTGTATATGCGTGTGCATACAAACAAGCATCCCAAGAACTTTCAAACTAATAGACATATGAAAATTCACACCTATTGTCGACATATCCAAAAACACCACTATAATTGAGAGTTGCATACAAAAACCTAAACCACGATATCATCTTGTTTGAAACTTTTAAACTTGAAATTTGAAGTATTTAAATTGAATACTTTTTATTATTTTAGTAAAAATTAAAATCGAAACCTATATGCTTATTCTAGATAAAATATTATATGTCAGTGTAATTACTAAACTTCAAAATTTATGACCGCTATATAAAATATACAATGGCCAAATAAAAACATATAAATGAGAATAAATTTTACACCTCTCGACCATTAAAAAAATATTATTATCAGCATTCCTAATTTGTTTACGCATTTCTCTACGGTCTACACTTTCTCTCTATATTCTTAACAAAAATATTTTCAGTCTTGGAGAGACATAAATTAATTCGAATATAGGAATCCTTAACCGAGAGTTAATGTCATTGACTATGTGAAAAGTATACTTTTTAATCGATCGAGTCTCACAAAATTACTTCATAATGGAGTAACAATTAAAATACTTGCAAATTATTGCTCTCGTCCGTTACATTAAAAAATCTTATAATGCATTTATACTTCGGGTAGGGTTTTGATTCTTTGGCTCTTTGCTACAATCATGCTTCTACGCGTTGCTTCTAATAAATTTAATGCGATAATCGACCAACTAATACAAAAATCTTGTGCTGGTCCGAATATTCCACGCGTATATGTGTGGTTAGGACTCAAGAAGCGGCGCAAATGCCTTTTATCTCACGCAAATTCAACTAAGACTAAACAATCTCATCGTCCACTTATGATTGAAAGATCCATTCTAAGGTTAGTGGACTTTCTCAAGCAAATTCTAGTTGATTGGCCAATATAAACGTTTTAAATAATGAAATATCGTTTTCAGTAGATCTTAGAGATTGGTCTAAATTTTGATTTATGTTTCTCTGGTATAGAAAAAGAAAACAATTGAGACTCGGT